GGCGGTCTTCCCTGGGAATGTCTGTAACAGGTCCTCAGACTCACTCAGGGCAGAGTTCTGAGATGCCCCCAAGGTTCCCAGAGCCGGGAGGACGGCCCTGTGTCATCTGCCCACTGTTGTGGGGTGCGGGGGTCGGGGGACTGGAAGTATGATGCACCGTCACCCCGGTGACCAGGTGAAGGGATTTTGCATATGTTGTTAACGTCCTTTATCAGCTGACTGGAAGTAAGGACAGTGCCCTGTGTGGGCCAAACTTCATCACATGACTTGAATCCTGAAGGAGAGGACCCTGGTGGGCCTGATGTAACAATCAGACGAGCCCCTTAAAAGAGGACCTGGAGGTCACCAGTGGAGGGAGTCGAGAGCCTGGAACAGCAGACACTCACTTCTGTAGGCCTTGGGGACTTAAACTGCCACGTCAGGGGGAAGGCCCCGTGGCCAGGAATGGTGGGGGGTGGCTAGAAGTCCCACAGCTGTGAGAAGCTGAATTCTGCCAATAACCAACGAACTTGGAAGTGGACCCCGCCTGCAACCAGAATCACAGCCCTGGCTGACACCTTGCCTTCGGCCTCCGAGACCCTGAGCAGAGAACCAGCTCGGACTAGACCTCTGGCCCCGCCCCGGGAGGCGGCGCATGGATGTTAGGTGGAGCCGCAAAGTCGATGGCAATTTGTGAGGCAGCAGAGGACCCTGATGTGTCCGCCTAAGACGTGCATAGAGAAACCGTGCCCTCTGTCCCCATGTTTCCCGCACCCGCTTTTTCTTCTCAAGGTGAATGGTCACACTCTGCACCATGGGGGAGGGCGGAGAGGCTGGGAGGGATCGGGGCCAAGTGCGGGGCTGGAAAGGGCTCCTAAGGATTCTGCACCTGGAGGTTTGGGCTCTTGATGGTCTGGTCGGTCTCGTAGTGCATGTTCTGAGAAGAGGCAGCTCCCGAGACCCATGGCTGGTGATTGATTCTGCCTTCACCATCCATGCTCAGGTGATTGGAGGTTGCCAACTTGGTCACCAACTGCAGAGATACCCTAAATTTGGGGAGTGACTTCACCAGAAAGGAACACATTTACCCCAAACCCAAGAGCAGGAGGCTAATGGGTCTGAACCTAGAACAGGGCGGAGGCCAGGGCTGTTGGGGGTGGTGATGCCCCTCGGGGCCTGAGAGCCCGAAGCTGTCTCACTGACTCAGGGTTTGTACTGAACAACTGGAAATGACACAGAAGATTGTGTCACCCAGTCCCTGCATGTGACCTATGAGGAAACAGCCTCAGGGCGGTGAGCTGCCCTTCCCAAAGCCTCCTGGCCCGGAGAAGCAGGGGAAAGACCGAAACTCAGGGCTTCCAGCTATTTCCTGTCTCGGGCCTGACTCGGGGTCACAGAGTCAGAGTCCTTGCAGGGCACAGAGCCCGGTCGCGCAGGTAGCCTTGGGTGACCCCAGGCCAGTCACTGATGGCCACTGTCCTTGTCCACTCGCCCAGCAGTACATGAGGGAAGCTGTGCCCAAAGAGGGGGTGGGGGAGGGCACAGGGTGCAGGCAACCAAAGTGGCCTCTGGGCAAGAGGGTCATTAGGACAGCTGACATACCCACGGGCTGCGAGAGGGACAGTGGGGATAGAGCTTCCAAAAGAGGAGGAGCAAGCAGAGGTTGGATTCCAGCTCCTGGGGGCCCAGGCCCCTGCCTGGCTCCCTGGATGGGTAGCTCCCCCCGACGTCTGCCACTCGCTGCTCAGAACACGATTTCCTGTGGACTGTGCCTGACCCCAAAGCGGCAGCTCCAGGCTCTCCCCGACTGAACGGCCCTCTGCAAGACTCAGGTGTTCAGAGACTCCGCAGGGACCCTCTGCCGTGGAGACGATGACGTTGTTGGAGCATAGGTTGCAATGGCAGGCAACCCCCCCTGCAGGGACCCCCAGCTCACAGACGGGCAGCAGGGTCCCCCTCACCTTCCGGACCTGCAGAGGCCCCAGGGAATCCCGCCACTGCTCTGGGCGCTGGGGCCCCCTGCCCACATGTGTCTGTCCCCATGCAGGGGTCACACCCTGAAATGCAGTAACATATTAAACTGGAAGTCGCCTGTCTGCAAAGAAACTGCCCACGTAGAGGAATTCAGAATTAAACCACCGTCTGGACAGACAAGTCATTTTTTAATGTGAGCAAATATTCCCTCAATTTATCCCTTTCATGTGCCTGGGATTTTATGGATTATGCTCTTCGGATGATGCATACCTCTGTTCTCTTAAATAAAAGAACGGGGTATTCTTATTTTTTGAAAGCTATTTTAAAAAATTCTTCCAAAGCCTAATGATGGGCCCCGGGGCGCAGTGAGGAGGCCTGGGTGGAACGTGGCTAAGAGTCTCTGCCCAGGGGCGGGTGAAAGGGAGCCCTGGCCTCACCCTGCAGTGTGAATGTGTGTGGGTGTGAGTGTGCTAGTGTGTAAATGTGCATGTGTGTATTTGCGTCTCTGTGAGTGCGTGAGTGCATCTGTGTGTGTATACACGTGTGCCTGCCTGTCTGTCTGGGGGCCAAGCGCTTGGGCACACATTCTGCTCCTGGGGGTGGACCCCGTAGCTCAGAGGTCACCCATGGAGACCTCTGGTCCCCGGGAGTCCTTCCCTGGAGCAAGTTCCACCGCCCTCCCCCCCCCAAGTGCCAGGCAGGGCCCAGAGGGTCTAACACGCTGATGCTGCTGGCCTCTGCCCCGCCCACGTTTGGGGACTGACTGTGTGCTGAGGAGAAAAGCTTGTTTTTCTAACTGTCAGGCCTCTCAGCAGAAGTGAGAAGGGGCTCTCCTCCCCCCAGAGAACCTCCCCCAGCCTGGAGAGAGGGAGTCCTACCCCGCGTGTCTGTATTCGCATTCTGCATGGTGTCTCGTTTTTGTGTCTTTGTTTTGTATGGCATGTTTTGAGGAGAGTTCTCAGTTCCACCTCTTCGCAGGCCTGTGAAGGGGCAGCGGGGGCAGAGAGCTGGGCGGGGCCTGCAGGCAACTGCCCACTTCCCTGCCACTGCACTCGAACCCAGACTCTGCCACTGGGTCACAAACGCCATCACAGGTTTGCATGGTGATGGGCGGTCACCAGACGTATCCCAGCGGTCACATCACGAGGTGCATGAACGTCCCATCCCTGTACGCCCGCCCGAGGCCACGGCAACGCCGTCTGCCAACTCTGCTCTGAAACAGTTTCTGGAACCAAAAGAGCCCGCTGGGCCCCCACGACAGCCCCCCCACCGGGCAAGCGAGGCCACTGGTCTTCACGGCCCTGTCGGGTGGCTTTGCCGGTCACAGTTCGAGGGCAGGTCGTGTCTAATTCAAAGGCCACTGATGTTGGGTTTGAGGCCACTCTCCCCATTTTAAAGAAAGGCCTTTTCACTTTACCTCTTGAAATCTAAGTGGAGAATGACAAGTAAAAAAAAAAAAATGCATGCCTCTGTTCCATGTAAACATTTTTATAATTTATTTAATTTTTAAGGCACATGGAGTTTATGTAGATCATTTTTCACATCTAAAACTACCAAGTGAGCACTAGTTACAAGTGGTTGCTCATTTACCAAGTTCACATGTCACATCACAAAACCAGTCCTAAAAACCTGACCCCCAAACAGATGGGGAGCGTGTGGCTGGTGAGACCTGGGGGACACCAGGACTTCCTCCTGCTTTTTCTCACATTTTCACTGAATCCCACAGCACTTACGTGAGTGTGTTTTACTGTCGTCTACATGAATTGCCACTAGAGCTAACGTGGCCTTTGTTTCAAGGTGCATGTGGGCATGAACCCCTGGCGGCCCTGGGGGAGGGGAGCTTCTGTAAGGTGTTCGAATGGCAGAGGAGCCCGGTGGCTCCCTGCGGTGGCTCCCAGCCTCCGTGCTGTCTTCCAGGCTTTGCAGGGGTGCTGGGGTCCCCGGCCCCTGCACACAGAGGCCAGCTCAGGGCACCGGGGAGGGGAAGCCACAGACCCACCAGAACACCCCCTGGGTCCACGGTTTCCACTTCCTCCCCAACTTGACCGTTCACCAGAACTGCCCAGAAGCAGTCACCGTGAACGGAATCTCTCTGGATTTTCCCATCCTGATCTCCAAACGCCCCGACAAAGGGCAGAGAGGCAGCCAGACTCAGGCGAGCCCTGCAGGGCAACATCGTGGAAGAAGTGCGACGACAGGTCTCAGAGAGCGCGGCGGCAGAAGGGAGGGATCCAGGTGGGCTCGGTCCCTTTCAGGCCAGGGCAGGGAGGGCCTCCCACCTGCAGCTGGTGTCCAGCATCCTCACTGAGAGCGGAGGGAGCAGAGAAAACCCCGGGCAGGAGACTGGAAGGGAAGACGAGGACAGGCTCTCCTCCGAGGCCCCCTGCCCACCCCCAGGACCAGGGACAACGCCAGGTAGTGGTCAGGAAGAGTGAGGACCACCCACGGCTGGAGGACCACCCACAGTGAGGACCCAGTCCCCGCTGGTCTGTGGGCCCCCCAGTTCTCCACCCCTGAGGAACCAGCCGCAAGCATCCTCTCCAGCTCTGCAGTGCCCACCTGTCAGCTTGCTCCAGGGCCCCTGCAGATGCCCATCGGGCCTCACCGAGAAGTCCCCTCCCCAGTCCTTTAAAACAAAGCAGAGCAGCCCCTGGCTTGTGTGGCTCAAGGGACTGAAAGCCAGCCTGCAAACCACAGGGTCACTGGTTCAATTCCCAGTCAGAGCACATGCCTGGGTTGTGGGCCAGGTTCCCAGCAGGGGGTGCACAAGGGGCAACCACACATCGATGTTTCTCTCCCTCCTTTTCTCCCTCCCTTCCCCTCTCTAAATGCAAATAAATAAAACCTTTTTTTTTTTTAAGTAGAGCAATGCCACCTGGGAACGAAACCATGTGGCAGAGAAGGAGCGAGCCACTGTGAGCTGGAAGGCGCTCACTGGGGTATCGGCAGCGGTCACGAACAGCAGTGGGCTTGCAGGTGGTTTTTCTCCCATCTTGGTACACTCTGACATGGTTTTAAACTTAAAACAGGTGCGTATTATTCTGTGATTACAAAAAGAGTGTTTTCATTCTGAAAAAAAAGTAAAGTGCTGTCCTGGAAGAGAAAAGCAAGCTAAACACGATCATGAGAACTATTGGAGACAGACTGGTGCTTTCCAATTAGAGGAAAAAGTGGACCCAAACCTAATTTGCTTTAAAACTTAAAACTGCAAAGCACGTGCCCTAAATATCACAGATTGCAGCGTCAGTGAACGTGAAAGACCTCAGTCAAGACGAGCGGACGGCGCTGTTCGGACGCACCACCGAGCTGACAGCTTGTGGGGCCTCCAGCACACGGTGTGTCCACTGTGGGGGAACGTGGGTCCCTCAATAACGTGGGTCCATATTATTGAAGTGTGAGCGTTCTGTCGCCGAGGATGGGTGCTGTGGGGAAATGCGAAGGACGCTCTTTTCGTAGCCTGGCCTCGTACAGCGAGCGAAGGAGTCGGACAGAGCTTCTCAGGGTCACTTCATTCTCTTCGCCACGTCCGAGTAGGCGCGTTCGATCTCCCGGTCAGCGGGACACGTGTTGGTGAACTCGTCTCTGGCGTAGGCATTGTTCAAGTACCTCCAGAGGCCCGTCATTTCGGAGGGAAATTCGAAATCCCTGTACCTCTTGGCCACGATCTGCAAATAAAGAGGACATCATCAGGGAAGGGGAACCCGCCCAGCCTGACATGACAATCCACGTGTCGAGGTGTGTGATACCTTCTCTGGGTTGGGTCCTGATGTCATCCCACAGGCCCCGGGCCACCCCGAGTCACACTTGGACTCGGGGTGGGACATACAGGGGATGGTGACAAAGGGACCAGGCTCGAAGCAGTGGTTCCACACCTGCTGCCCACCCCCCAGTTTCTCACGGGCCTGGTGAGCCACGGCCCGACTGTGCCCAGGGCGCCAGCTGGTAGGGTCCCCTGGTGTGTGTGGCAGTTTTCTGTGTGTCGTGCTGCTGGGTGCCTGGTGCTGGAAGACTCAGGGCGGGTCTTTAGTTTTGCTTGGGCTCAGACCGCAGTGAAGCCCATGCCTGCCCTCGGGAAACCCCGTGTCCCCGTGTCCCGCCATTCTACCTCCAAGCGTTCACTGTGGTCTGCCGTGCGCACAGGACAGGGTCAGGACACAAGTCCTCAGCCCCGGGGAAACCGGGAGTAAAGATCGCAGACAACACAACAGTGTGGTGTGTTCCCTTGGGCTGAACGGGGGCCGCTGGGGAACAAACTACAACAGGGGGGGTGGATGCCATTACTCTCAGCAACTGCCTGAGCCCACCTTAGCCAGGAGCACAGACTGGGTGGCCAAGGCTGCAGAAGTGTGTTCTCTCATAGTCCTGGTGGACGGAGGTCCAAGATCAAGGTGTCGGTGGGGCCACCAGGGCCCAATGCAGGACTCGGTTTCTGACGTCACTCTGAGCTGCGGGCATCTCCTTGACCTGTGACGGCGTGACTCCGGTCTTCCCACGGTGTTTTCTTCACAAGATGTCCTCACTGCGTTTGTGTCTCTGAGCCCAGACTTACCCTTCTTGTAGCCATATTGCACGGGGGCCACCCTACTCCAATATAAGCTCAAAGTGATCTTCACTCATCACATCTGCGAGGGCCCGTTTCCCAGTGAGGTCCCGTTCGAAGTCCTGGGCGTGAGGACTTCGCATGTGAGTGTCGGGGGGACAGAATTCACACCCCAGCAGGACCGAGGGCTACACAAACCAGTCCGCTTTGCCGCCTCCTATCCCACGGGCTCCGGGCTGCCTGCAGTGACGTGGGACGTAACCACAGATGGGACAATCTGTGGGACGCTTTTCCCAGGTCTGGGAGGCCAGCAGCCACCCACTCAGTGTGGCACCAGAACAGGACCCTGTGACTTTGAGCAAGCCTCCTTCCTACTCTGTTTAACGTCTTCTACTCGAAGTCAGCCTTACTGATACTAATGTTAAGAATTCCGCTCTCCTTTTGCTTGTGTTTGCCTGGCTTAGCTTTGCCTTTTTTTTTCCACCTCTGAGCAAATCTACAACGTGTATGACTCTTACAGATGGGAACTTGATTTCGTACTATATTTTCTGAATGTAACACTTTGTTTTTCACCTATCTGTGTATATTTCTGTGTGTTTCCCTTCTGATGACTTAGAAGGTTTCTGGTCTGTTTTAACTTTCCCAGTTGTTTCCTGTATAGGCTGAAATAGCAGGAACTTTCCATTTCTTGATTTATCAACTTCAGATGGTGTCACTTCACTCCTGCATGTGACAAATGAGGGAGTTGGTAGAACCCCATCTTTCACTGTTCCCTCCCCTGTAAATGTTCCATTCCAGGCGGGTCCATCACACCGGCCCCGTTTGATGTGTCCTGTCCTGTTCTGTCATTCCTGCTGTGGTCCGTCTCAGTCCTGGTGTTAGATCTCAGTAGGTTAATGTTTCTCCAGACTCTTTTTACATCACACATCTCTGTGTTCAGATTCCTATTTCGATTATGACTTTATTATTTCATCATAGAGTTATTCTATCTTTTAAATTGGCTCAGGAGTACTTCTTTTATTGAGATCGGGAGTCTAGATAAAAACAATTTACCTAGCTATAAAATTCTTACATCACAGCACCCTCCCCTTAATTCTCTGTAATACGAAGCCATTTTTCTGTTGTTGTTTTTAAATGTGGTCATGGAGACATATGAGGCCAGTCTGAGCTTCTTCCCTGTGTAGGTGGCTTTGCTCCTTATTTAACTCATCATCATCATCGTCATCATCGCTGCCATTGTTGTTATTGTCCAGATGCCAAATAGTTCTTTTCTCATTCTCAGATTTCAATGATTTACCAAAGATGTCACAGGGTGTTGATTTTTCTGGGGCTCAGCTTTCTAATTGTGGCGGATTGTTTGCACTGAAGGTCAGGGTGTCCTTTTACTCACAGTGACTGTCCCTTTGAGCCTCCTTCTCTTCCTTCTTCTTCCCCTGTTCTCTTGTGTCCAACTGCGTGCACCGGGGTGTCTCTGGCCTGCTGTTCCTCTTCCGTTCGAGTCGGGGTGGTTTCCTCCGCCCGTCCCCTGCACCCTGACTCATTTCCACAATGCCTTTTTCTACATCTTGTTACTTCTGATGTAACTTTTAATTCTGCAGTCATTTTATTTGTCTTCACGTTTTGTTCTTGAGGCTCTGTGGTATTGTATATACTTTTAACATCTTGTGTTGCGTCTCTGAGTATTCTCCTTGAAAGATCCATGGACTCACGCTTCTTGGAGGCCGTGGGGAAGTGTCCGTCTGGAGTGTTCTTTAAGTCACTGGAGCGATGCCGCATCACATGTGTGTCCCCGTCTGCCTTTGTCCTGAGGTTGCCGTTCTCTCCATCCTTCTCCCCCTCCCCCTTCTGATTGTGTCCACCCACAGAGGGGTCCCACTTGGATTCTTTCTGCTCATCTATTGCACCTACTATTTGCTTTAAAAATAGGGCCACGGGCCCTGGCTGGTGTGGCTCAGTTGGTTGGAGCATCGACTCATAACTGAGAGGTTGGGGGTTCAATTCCTGGTCAGGGTACATGCTTAGGTTGCGGGTTTGATGCTCAGTCTCGGCAAACACATCCCCAGCCCAGCGAATACAGGAAGCAACCAATCGATGCTTCGCTCTCACATCTGTGTTTCTTTGTCTCCCTCCCTCTCTCTCTAAAAGCAATGAAAACATGTCCTCAGCTGAGGGGGAAACCAAGGGCCAAGGGAGCAAGGTGGGGCAGCTGGTTGACCAATTGCAGTATTTATCCTCGAACAGTCTCCCCAAACTGCTCGACACTCTGCCCAGGGACACAGCAGGGTCAGGGTCAGGGTCAGGGTCTGGTTTAGGCATCCTCCACTCTGAGGCTTGCAAATTAGGCAGGAGGTCACCGTGGCCGAAAATGAAGCTCAGGTCCTTGACCGTCTCTCATGACTGGTTCAAGGCTTCCTTCTCTTCTCTGCTCAGCAGCCACAAAGCTAAACGCCATGTCCCCTCCCTGTTCCTTTGGACTTGAGGGGACAGTGACATGCCCTCTGCAGAGATATTCTCTGCTTCTCCTGCGGCCGCTCCAAGCCCTGGACCTCAGACGGACAAGTCCGGGCTGGCCTTTCAAAGCCGTGTGGCCGACTGTTAGAGTGAGCTGGGCCTTGCTAACGACACAGACGAGCGCGCCTGCCTCTGCGGCACCGGACGATGGGGCTTAGTCCTTGAGTTGGTGATCTGTTCCTTCTGGCTTTACGGAAGGTAAAGTTACGCTCTACTTCATCCTACTGTTTTTGCTGGGTTTCAGGAAGGCGAATAAATGATAAATTCCTTTTCCCTCTCATCTTTTACCATAAATTCCTTCAGATGGATTCTCATTTCCTCTCGGGAGAGGAATAATCTCCCTCCTGGAAGATGACCCAGGTGTTTGGTATTTCGAGTGCTAAATGGCCTCGAAGAGTTTGCTAGTAGATCTTAGGTTGGAGCTACGGAGTTCTCTATTTTACTCCATTCAGAGTAAAAAACTGTGTTTACACTGAAATGTAAATTTTTTATGGGAGCTGGACAAGCGGCACTTGCTGCCGTGACTAGAATACATCCATTAAAGGGACTCACCCCAAAACACATCTATATAAACAGCTTGTGGCAAAGCGGCTCCCGAATGTCCCATTCCAACCCTCAGCAGTGCAGCAGGTCTGAGGCGTTAATGTGCTGACCTTAAATTTTAGACGTCAAGACACTGCCAATGTTATTTATATTGTTATCATACTATTACAAAGTTATTTATAATGTTCTTTCCAAAACACTCACTTGCAGGATCAGCAATATCTTTAGGGCTAGAATTTCAAATTGACACCTTTGGGCACAACAAGGAAGAGAGAGAAGAAAAGAACACAGGGATTGGGGAGGAAAAGGCAACATGGAAAGAGAAAGGCAGGGGCAACACGGAGTGACCAGCGGCCCATAGGAGCCTCGGTGCCCCGGGCCGTGTAAACCTGCGTTGTAGATTTCCAAAATGCTGATTACACGTGTAATTAGAATGCAGGGTTCTCGTGCCCTATGTCCCTGGATCTTCTCTCCCCTTCCTCCTACACCAAGGACCAAACTCTGGACCTGCGGGATTTGAACAATAAAGATGCCCCAGCACGAGAATCGGGCTTCCTCCTGGGCATCCGAGGCTGCTGATGGCCGAGGGTATGGCGCTAGCGATGATGACAATAGCAACAGCTGTAGGTGACCGAGAAGCCAGACACCCTGGTCGACAGCCACAACTAAGGATTCCAGAGTGGGACCATCTGCCACAGAGCCTCCGGCTCACTCCCAGAAGCTCTGATGAGGTGGGCCGGGGCTGGATCGAGCGAGTTCCACTTCTAGAAAGCTCCCCAAACAATTCTTATGCCTTCTCCTGTTAAAGACACACCACTCAGGGAGTCTTTAAGCCCTCACAAAGTACAATCCCTGACTTTCATCTCATGTTCAACTCTCTGGGAAGACAGGATGCCAGACCCGGCAGGGGAGGCCCAGCCGAAGAGCCACCTCTGCCCCCGGCTGGCGGCGCGGATGCCACCCCCCAGGGCTCTGTTTGCCCCGACCACCACCAGCCATGGGCTGCGTGCCCGCTTTAACCCTCGAGACTCCACTCCTCACGTCCAGGCCTTGGGCACCAGATGCCAGTATGACCCTCAAGGGCTGTTACGATGCTTTTCTTCTGGCTGTGGGGACAAGACCTGGGGGAGCTCGGTGAGGATGGTGGGCTGGGAGCCAGGTGTCCGGGAGGACGTCAGAGGTCCGCCTGAGACCAGTGGTGTTTCTGAAACGTGGGGTGGGGCTGCCTCACACAGAAACAGGCCGGACTCTGCATGTTTCAGATGGTGTTCGCTGGCCAGGCAAAACACACGTCAAAACAGAATAAAACACAGCCCCGTTCACGTGGCAGGAGGAGCAACGCACCTTGATGATGTGGAGCTTGGGTAGGAGGTTGCAGTCCGCCAGCGTGAGCTCGTCCCCGTCCAGGAACTTGCGCCCCGACACCGCCACCTCCTCCGTGCTGTTGGCGTCCACCTCGTCGGGCAGGGGGCTGTTTAGGTAACTGTCCAGCTTCCTCAGGGCCTTCAGCAGGTTCTTCTCATGAACTGCGACAGGAAGGCGAACAAGGACGGGGAGGGGCCCCATGAGTGAGCGCCACCTTTCTCCAGACAGGAAGGAAGGGAAACGACCTGGCCTCACCCCTCCCTGGAAACAGCTCCGCTGTCCACACGACTCTGCAGTTTCTAGAACCCACTTGTTCCTTCAAAGCCCTTTAGGGAAACCCCACTGCAAAGTGCAGCACTGGCATTTAAACGATTCCCATGATGCAGCTGGGAACAGCCAGTGACAATTCTGTCACCGTAAAAAATGTTGTTTTCCAGGCTTCCGGCCTCCAGAAGGGGCACTCGGTGTCTGGACCCCCACGTGCAGGTTTGAAGTTGGAGGCACTTCCTCCTTGTTTCGACACACAGGTCCCTCCCACACCCTGGGAATGAGGCGGGATTCCCAACCGTCTCCTATGAAACCGCCTCCAAAGCCAAGGGGAGGGCTGTGTGGGAACAGAACCCGGGAAGGGGGAGGTACTCACTCTCATTGGCGTCCTTCTTGGTGTTTTTTATAAATGCTGAGAATTTGGCAAACACGTCATTTCCTGCAGAGTTGGATTCGGGGTGCTGAGTCGCCAGCTTGGGGTACCTTGGACAATTCAAAATTGGACAGTCACAGATGAATGATGTTTGAGCTGGGATAACACAAGGGGGGACAGGTCTTGGCTGAGTGGGTACAAAAATGACTTCCCCTCGAATGTCTTCTTCATCTTTCTTTACCTTCGAGGTTCACAGCCACACAAGCAAGGGATAAAGGTCTAGACCACTCTCACCCTGGGCACAAGGCCCGGCCTCCCCGGTCCGAGTTCCCTCCCTGCTCCAGTGAAGGTGAGGGACTGAAGGTCCCGTTCCAGGCGGTGATGCTGCCAACACCTGCTCCTTCCCTTCCAGCCAAGAGCCTAGGACGTGGCCCGCCCACGAGGCATCAACCAACCTCTCCCCCAACTTCCCAACTGCAGGTTCAGAGCAAAGAAATCAGGGCCACCTTCCCTCCAGGCTCCTAATCTCGCCCCGCATCTTCTGTGGCACACGGATATGGTTAGAAAGAGCCTGCCATGGCCACAGAAAACCAAACATGCTCAGCCAAGAGCTTCAGAACCATCTGTGGGGGCGATGGTGAGGCCGTGGGCTGGGCTGGGAGGCCTACCGCGGGGGGGCCAATTCCTCTTCCAGGAACTCCTCGATCTTGTTCACGTCCATCTTCACCTCCCCATCGAAAGTCATAAAAGGAGGGTTCGTCCCAGGCGCCAGGTTCTGCAGGTCTGCAGGTTTCCTGGGGGGGGAGGGGGGAGGGGCAGCTGTGTGGGCAGCCGCCAGGGTTTAGACTCAACCCCAGGGCTTGGCCATGCCCTCCCCGTCAAAGAGAAACGACCCTTGAGAGCCTCCAAAGATGCGGTGCCTTTACAGAATGTCTCACCAGCACTGACGGTGTGGCCCCTTCTCTGGATCTGGGGGGTGAAAAAGTTCACTCCCCCCAGCGTTACCACCTGAGTGGGGTTTGGACAGGCTTTGGAGAAATTCGGGGCTGACCAGTAAGTGGGAGAGCAGGTTCCTTCAGGCGCCCCCAATGCCTGATCACATAGGGTCACTCTTGTAAAGACCGCTCAGCCCACACCAGCGACAGTGCAGGGCACCAAGGGGTGTGTCTTGGTGTGTGCGAGTGTGCACACGTATGTAATTAAGTAGTTATTTTGACAGTGTAGAGCCTTGTCTTACCTTTTCAGGTCCACAGTTGTCACATTAAATATAACGCCCTTCAGCCAGAGAATCATGAAGAGGCGCTGAGAAAATGGGCAGTTTCCGATACTCTCCCCGTCGCAGCCAGCCTGCGGGCAGAGAAGGAACACTTGATGGGAGCCAGTCTCGCCCTCACCAACGCCAGACGCTGCCGGGCATGCACCGGAGACGGCTGTGTGTTTTTGTTCGTGGTCACGGTACTGTAAAGGTCCTTCTGAGGCCCCTTCACTCAGCCTCTGTGCCAAGGTGGGGTGGGGGGCGTGGGGAGAGGACACAGACACCCTTCCCCAGACCACTCCTGCCGTGCTGGGCCTCTGAGCTGCAGTTCGCAGAGGGAAACCATGGCAAGAGGCAGGTCCCCTTGTCATCACAGATGGAGAAAGAAGACACCTCCATCCTGTTACCCTCTAGCTCTCGATCATCTGCTGGGGCCTCACACCTGTATTTCTAGGATGATCGTGCTTAAAGCCAGACCAGCAGACACTGTGGTGAAACAGCATCCTTCCGAGCCAGGGCCGCGCTCGCCTCGAAGTGGGACCGCGGGATAACATGCACTCCGCGACCCCTGCACGCTTTCCAACATTCAAGTCCCCTCCTCTGGTTCGCGGGGTGCGGGGGAGATGGGGAGCAATCGCACTTGGGAGATAGATCATCGCTCAGCTGGCGTCCAGGGAGGAAGTTTATGAAACGCTTCCCCTCTGAGGACAAAGCAGGTCGGACCCAGGCCTGCGTCCCGGGAGACACGCCCGGAGCACACTGCATGCGCATGCGCACCAGCAGAGGACAGTGCAGGGGCCGGAGACGCGAGGGAGGGGCGGGACACCGCGCGGTGGAGTCCAGGCCGGCAAAGGTGGTTCCGAAACTCGCCTTCCTGGTCCACGGTCCACACGCCACACAACTCTGACAGGTGGTGGGGCCAAGACAATGATGCGGGAAGGGCAAGGAGGTGGCTTGGACACGCCCCCACTCCCCTCGCCAGACTTCAGTGATACAAACAGCCCTGCTTGAGCCGGGAAGCCCAATGATGCCCCCTGTCGTTAAAATAAAAAATAAACTGGGAAAAGAGCACTCTTTGTAGGACCTGAGTGACAGAAGGACACCAGGCAGACAGTGACCTGCTGCTGGGGGAGCTGAGAAAAGAAGCCTCAGGAAAACTGGACACGTGAAAGAGGGCTCCCAAGACTGGCTTCCTGGGCCGAGTGTCCTAAGTCACCAGGAGAGGTCCTTAGGGACCAGATGCCCTGCAAGTAAAGAGGGTAAGGGTCCCACAGTCCGGTGTTAAAAGAACGTGACTGGCCTCTCCACAGAAGGCAGGATGCGAGTGGCTGAAACGTACGTTACAGGTCTCACCACCGTGAGCAGCGGGCAGTGTGGACGGGACCTCACAGAATCCCGCTGCACACCCACCACGAAAAGCGCTGACCCCACCACGGACAGACAAGCACCCAGAGCAACCGAATCTTCCTTCATCGCTGGTGGGAGTGAAAACAGGCACAACGAGTTTGGAAAACTGCGTTCGCTCCCAGAAGCCACGCGTGCATTTGCCCAGCGATGGAGCAACTCCACCGCCAACAGAAAGGAGCATGTGTGGGCACCGAAGACACACGTCCGGACGTCCTTAGCAGCGTCGGTATGATAGCCAAACCCTGGAGACCACCCAGATGCCACGGAGAGCAGAAAGAATCACTCGGCTGCAGGGTGGTCATTCAGCAGGCCCCTGCCCCCCGTGGAAGTGCACTGGCTGTTACACAAGAGGCAGTACGAACGCATCCCCTCCCACAGAGAAAGAAACCGGACTCCGAAGAATCCTGCACATCCCAGTGTAGGCGAAGTTCAAATACAGGCAGCCGTCTCCGTGTGGCGGAGGTCAGAGCAGCAGGTGCCCTGGGAGCACAGGTGCGCGGTTCTGGGAGGGACGGGAAGGGGCTCTTTTGGGTGGCGGACACGTCCCATATCTTGATCTGGGTGGTGGCCACACAGGTATATTCACAAGTCTTAAGGTTTGGGTATTTGGGTGCATGTTGCAGTTAAAGAAGAAAATAAAGTAAATATATTAATTCAAAAGAAGACAAATACAAACACTTGGATTTGGTAGATCTGGCGTGGGGCCCAGGAATCTGAATTCTTAACAAGTCCCCCCCTTAAGGCACTGTGATGTCAGGGGCCCACGAATGTGATGGGTAGGCTTTAAAAACACGAAGAGGCACCAGTGCTCCCAGATGACTGAAGTCAGAGTCCCCCAGACTCCGGGCACTTGCTTCACACCCTTCCAACCCCTCAGGCTCTCCCTTCCTGCCTCCGACATTTACTGGCCAGTCCACCTGGCACAGGGGACGGCTGAGCATCCCCCACCCACTCTGGCCAGAGGCTGCGAAGCTACTGGAAGCCTGAGGGGTGGGGAGGTGCACGGTAGTCATTACAACTCCCCTGCACCAGGGCCCTGAAACAGCGCCCGCGCGGACACCTGAGGCCATGCCCCACCTGGGGATCCCACCCCTGCCCGGCCACTTTGAAGGCTGCCGCCTCCAAGTCTAGAAAGGTCCCAGCGGCTTGGGATCCCTCCTCACCAGGCTGCTTCCTCCCCTGCTGCAGGCCGGGGCAGAGTCAGGCCAAGAAGGGGGGCGGGGGAGATGGGCACAGGGACACAAAGGCACATACTTGGGCCAGCCCTGACTTGTTCCTCGGCTTCCGAGCCTCTTCTTTTTCTAGCGGTTGCACTGAGCCCAGGAAGGTCTGACAGGCCCTGCAGAGCCTCCCCCCTGCTCTCCATACCCTCGGGGATCCTGGTACGACGCACCCTACCCTGGGCAGGCAAGCGCCAGCCCTGCCTGGGGTCTGCGTGCCGCTGTGTGAGGATGGGCTCGGAGCTGGGACGGGACGGGCCTGCCAGCGGCAAGCCGCCCTCTTCTCTTCCTGTCTCCCCAAGTCTCGAACGCATGCCAGTTCTCCCCTGAACTTGCTCCTGCCATGCTCTGCATCCCAGCAGCCACATCTCCAGGACAAATAGAGGGTAGGAGCAATACACTCTTTAAAAATGAAAATGGCCTTTGTCACCTGACTCTCTGAAAACGTAAACTTCTTAAGAGGCTCCTTCCAGACCTACAGCAGGGACCAAGCCTGTGGCTGGGGCGGAACAGCCATCCGTAAGGGCCACAACATCCACAGCTTAGAAGGTAGTGATGGAAGCTGCTGGGGTGCACGTCTCCCCCTCCCCGCGGCCTTGAAACGGAATTGTGGCCACGCAGTGCAGCCAGTGGACTGAGGCTGTTCTAGAAGGATCAACCGGCTGCTGGGACGGCCAATAACCCCACATTTACACGCCCTGTGTTGCCTCATCTTCAACTGCTCTGAACTTTTTTCTGTCTCCTCTGCTGTAAATGAGGGAGTTCCAGGAACACGGTGGGAGTGATGAGGGCGCCTTGCTGCCTAATTTTATTGCTTTAATGCGCTTCAGGGCTGGGGTGTGGATGCAGGAAGGAGGCAGGGACTGCCCACCAGAGCCCATCACCAGCCAGCCCGGGAGAGCGTGCCCGGTCCTCGTACCTGTGCCCCAGACAGGACGTCGGGACAGAGGCGTGCGTGGTGGGAGGGGGTAACTGACAGAGTGGCCGCCGTGGGTGTGTTTATCCTGCGAGGCTTTGCTCCCCCTGGCTGATAATGCTCTCGGCTAATTACACTCCGGGCGCCATCTCTCAGCAGACTGCGGAGCCCACAGGGGAAATTGTGGGCGTGCCTTTCTGATAACAGCAAGGTGCACTGTTGTGTGTGTTTCCAGTGAAGACCCAGGCACTTGGGTGACCGGGAGCTGCCTGTCTGCCTTTCAAATTCAACTGTTCTGAGTGTCGGTTCTCAGAAGGAAACTCGAGGCCTCTGAGAAATGTGCTGAGAAACTCCGTTGCCACTGAGACCCTCTGCGGCGTCTGAGCTCGGCCCTGCTGAGTCCCCGCCCTCGTCGGCTGCCTCCCCGCACACAGGCCCACGGCCCGGGGCGAGGCCAAAGGCAGCTACAGCATCCTTCACCTTGGGCCCTCATCCAATCAGAGCCTCTCCTACCTGCACTGCGAGCTCAGCTCCATTCGGATTTTTTTTTTCATTTTCCTTTAGTGTCTTTTGTTTCAGGTGAACGGCCTCTGCCATAGTGGGCTGGAGTCACAGGTGAGGGGCAGCTCTCAGCCCCTACCTTCCAGTCGGGGGCCCCTGGCACCCCAGCCTCGACCTGCCAACCTCAGGACCAGAGAATCCTGGTGGCTTCTCACACCCCACATGCTCCTTCCCCACAGAGCAGGCCAGGCACGCACTCACCACCTTGACTGCTCACCTTCTCGGCTCTACCTTCCTTCTAGAAGGTTCCGTGTGGGTCTCCTTGGTAAACAAACACATTTCCTGAAGTAAGCCCTTTTCTCTACCCAAGTGAAATGGACATCAATTTGGGGATGGAGAGAAAATTAGAAAGAGGCAACAAACTGATCCTAATCTAATTGCCCCTTGTACTGGCTTCCAGCCAAAGAGGAAAGAAGTGTATCCTGTGTGCAGGGGAGTGGGCGCGCTGAGCCCTGCGGGAACCGGAGGAGTCTGGGCAGCCGGCCTGGTGGGCTCCACCGCAGGGACACGGAGAGAATCGGTGAGTGCAGGGCCTGCTCGGCTCCAGCGCCCGAAGGGCCTGGGCTCAGTAACCACAGTAGCTGACCAGGGAGGGCGGGGGTCAGCGGTGGAGCGTGGCGTGGGCAGCCTTGTGCAGCCACGGAAGCAGTTCTTCTCTGAGAAGAACAGCGCGGCCCCAAGGACAGGCCAGGCCTCTGCTGGCCGCCGGCTGGACGCAGTGCAGCCAGGGAGACAGTCCAAGCCAACCCCTCGGGAGATGACGCCCTCCCTCAACCCACCTACACATTTCCCTGAGTGCTTCCTGTGTCCTCTGCTGCAGGCACGGTGGCCTCGCCCCCTTCGGGAGTGGCCATCAGCGTGCGCACTGTGGCTGGGCGCGGGGGCCTCGGCCTTTGTCAGAACAGTCAGTACGGCCCCCCTCCCAGGTTCTGCAGGTCTTCCCCGAACTTGTCCACAACAGCCAGGTCCCCTCTCTCAGCAGACGATT